AATTCTCAATATGGCTAGAAATTTGTCACAAGGGTAGTTTGAATTCCTGAAACGATGGTCCAACTCTTTCGGCGAGAAACGCCTCGTTCGTGCATTGTGTACGCCAGAGTGCTGCAATCCCAAAGTCAGAATATTCATGAAAAAAAATCATCGAACAACGACAATCTACCCCTATTAACGTGCTATAAGAAAGCAAAAAAAACTGAGTGAGCAGATCCGGTCCTCTAACGTTCGCGCAGCAAATACGCTTCTTTGACCGTTAGGCCATCGTACCACTCGCGGTGAAAGAAACCTTCGAGACTTTGTTAACAGCATCTTTCAGCAAATGTGGACTCAGCGTAAGGAGGCGCATCAGGTGGTCCACATCTCATTTCAAACGGCCAGTTGGACCTACCATCCTTCACTTGTAAGCCTGCCCATTTAAACAGCGTGCACTGTGATCTTGGATTCTTTGTAGTTTTTCTTCGCTTCAATTTATCATGAGTGAACAAATCATCACGACTACTTTAATTTCAGGGCACAAGAACCACATCTATTAAATTGCGAAATGCGCCTTTTAGTTGATAGATCATTACGACTGCAATGATGTCCCATGATCGCAGAGTCGAAAAGTTAATCTGAGGGACCTATTAACAACATGGCTCAAGTTTGATCCACCAACAATACTCTGATGAGAATTTCACGAGTGAAAGCAAAAATCAGGGAAAGTTCAATAGGACCCATATGGTCACAAAAGATCATAAGAAAATTCAATACTTTGAAGAGCGATGTCTTACCAACAGAACCATGGTATGGAAAGAAAGCATCATCCTTGAACACAACTACTCGAGCACCCGACTCTCTGAGTGTCGCTGGAACAGAAGAGGCAGTGGCAGCGAAAAATCTCGTCTGAATTGCAAAACTTATATACATATGTTCAAAGCAGCTGGAAACTTCAGTTTGAAGCATTTATTGCTCCGAAAACATGCGCGGCGTCACCTTAAAGCAACACCCCAGATCGACTTTGGTAGGGTAAAAGCGGTCGGCAATGAAATTGTGGATGCCGAGTTCATTGCAAATGAGAAAAGAAACAAAGAGAATCTCCGATAAGCGCTTAAACAAGGACTCCCCTTTAAAATAAGGAGAGGGCATGGCCGTGCGAGCTGTATAAACTAGCTTGCTCATGCTCATGCCAGCAAGAGATGCGGCTGCAATGCATATGCACCAATACAATCAAAGACATATGCACAACACAAACAAAGAAATACGATAATAAATTTAAAAAATAAAATGTAAGGTCAATCAAAAAATCGGCAGCATTCTTTAGCATGCGCTACAGTTCACACATATTCGCGCAAGGACCGTACAGCCAATCATGCGACCTCAACGGTTAGGCTTATGTCAGAGTCCGCGTCGCGATTTTCGCGATTTTCGCGATTTTCGCGATTTGCGCGACGGGTCACGGAAATCACAAGTGCCCCATCAATACTGCAAGGTGTTCTCCAATCCCGCCGCCACTTCTGCTTGATGGTTATGGTTTAATGGAGACTGCTCATGATT